ACCGTCCTGCTGGTGTGAGAGTGCGGGCGGTGGTGCTGCGGGATGATTCGGATTGATTCCTACAGCAGTAGAATACACTAAAAAAAACAACAACACACCAACCGCGGTCTTCTGCAATGCTATAGCATACACTTCAGCATCAGCAACAAACGGAAGGACGGGAAAAACACCACGGCATGAGTTCTGCGCCTCGTACGTCTCTCTCTCCCTGCCCCCCCGCCCTCCCATCTCTCCCTCCCTCCTTCTCGCTATTCTCACTTGCGTAGTAGTCGTTCCGTTGGAGGATCGGTTCCAGCAACCCAGCCAGTTTGTTGAACACCGGTTCCTCCATGCGATACATCCTACGGAAGAGCTTCCGCTTGTTGAGGTCAGCAGCGTGATCCTCCCAAACCAGGCGCCGTGGCTCGTGGATAGCCGCACGCGTCTTTTTAGCGCTAGCGTGCACAGCTACAGAGGTGACCACTGCCGCCGCACTCAGTACCAGCACCACCACAGCAGCAGCTGCTTTCATCTGCCGCACCAGCTATTGGCGACCGGATGCACGCCTGAATCGTTGGCTCGGTGGGCCAGCACACGACGAACCAAGAGGCGCGCCGCGTTTCCTGCGTTCCGCCATGGCCCTACCGCTATCCAAGTACCCTCCGCTGCTGCTTCTTCCTTGTAGTTGGTCCTGTAGGCCCTTTAGCTGCTGGGTTTGTTGTGATGCTCCAATTTATTTGGACAATTTGTACAAAATTTGGAAGCTACTGAGTACAATTTTTGGCGCCCAGGTTCGTTCCGAATTTTTGGACTTTATTCGGACAAACGCCTCTGTACAAGTTCCGCAATTTCGGACAATTTGTACATTTGTACAAAATTTTTACAATTTTTTTTCATGGATAAAACGGCCCTTATAAAACGGCCCTATGGGCCGTTTTATCCATGAAAATATAAAGTACGTACAGCTCCCGTTCACGGCACGGTTTCTAGCGCGAGAAAGGGGATTATATGGCTCTNCGAGTCGCTAGCACGCAGGGTAGAGGTCTCAAGTGTGTAAGCAGTAAATACGTAACAGCTCCCGTTCACGGCACGGTTTATGGTGCGAGGAAGGGGATTATTGCTCCTGACAGGTGTTCGCTCATGCAACGATGCACACACACTGACCTCTTCTTGTGCAATCGAACGACTGTACCGAGTGCGATGAGTAGTGAAGATACTTGTACCAGCTGTAGTAGCCGATGTAGCGTCGGAGCAAAGGCCTCCTTGTGGATGTTATGTCTTATTCTTTTAGTTCAAGCTCAGGATGGTAGCTTGGTTGTGAGCAGAGGAGGGCGAGTCCAGACAGCTCTTGCAGAGGCTCCGCTGAATGCGGCCAACTACCTCTCTCTGTGGGGTTAAGGAGAAACAAATACACGCACAGAAAGACTACCCAATCGAGATATACCCACAGTCGAACGGGATGTGGTGGAGTCTTTTGGGGTTGTACTTGCGGAACAATGAATGCCCCGAACCGTAACAGGGACACCCAGTCGCTCTCCTGCCCGCCCCGGCATCCCACGCCCCCCGCCATCGCTCCTAACAGCATGCGCTTGGGGCGGCGGCTGTCCTCCATGCGCATAACAAAGCCCGCGAAACACAGTCTCCGTTTGCGCACGGTGGCCTCGATGGTTTCCTCGCAGCCTGCCTGGATGAGGGCCTGGGCATAGGACAGGGGGCGGTCTGAGCGTTTCCGCTTGCTCCAGCCGATGCACCGTGTAAGGAACTGGCGGTGGGTCCCTTTGAGCTTCGTGTAGTGCTCCGCTGTTAGGTTCCACGAAGCGTACCCATATAGGAGAGTCTCCACCACTTCAGCCTGGAGTAGCCGGATCTTGAGCTGGCGGTCGGCCCGTCGCCTGTCGTACATCGAAGCACTGTTCCGGCGGTAGCACTTCCACGCTCGACAGCTGCGGCTCGTTATCTCGCGGTCGGCCTTCCCGTCCGCGGAGATGGTACGTCCGAGGTACACAAACCGATCTGTCTGCTTGTACGTCTGGCCGG